TCCTTGCCATGTTCTTCGTCCTGGCCATGTTCTTCGTCCTTGCCATGTTCTTCGTCCTTGCCATGTTCTTCGTCCTTGCCATGTTCTTCGTCCTGGCCATGTTCTTCGTCCTTGCCATGTTCTTCGTCCTGGCCATGTTCTTCGTCCTTGCCATGTTCTTCGTCCTTGCCATGTTCTTCGTCCTGGCCATGTTCTTCGTCCTTGCCATGTTCTTCGTCCTTGCCATGTTCTTCGTCCTTGCCATGTTCTTCGTCCTTGCCATGTTCTTCGTCCTTGCCATGTTCTTCGTCCTGGCCATGTTCTTCGTCCTTGCCATGTTCTTCGTCCTGGCCATGTTCTTCGTCCTTGCCATGTTCTTCGTCCTTGCCATGTTCTTCGTCCTTGCCATGTTCTTCGTCCTGGCCATGTTCTTCGTCCTTGCCATGTTCTTCGTCCTGGCCATGTTCTTCGTCCTTGCCATGTTCTTCGTCCTGGCCATGTTCTTCGTCCTTGCCATGTTCTTCGTCCTTGCCATGTTCTTCGTCCTGGCCATGTTCTTCGTCCTGGCCATGTTCTTCGTCCTGGCCATGTTCTTCGTCCTTGCCATGTTCTTCGTCCTGGCCATGTTCTTCGTCCTTGCCATGTTCTTCGTCCTTGCCATGTTCTTCGTCCTTGCCATGTTCTTCGTCCTGGCCATGTTCTTCGTCCTTGCCATGTTCTTCGTCCTGGCCATGTTCTTCGTCCTTGCCATGTTCTTCGTCCTGGCCATGTTCTTCGTCCTTGCCATGTTCTTCGTCCTGGCCATGTTCTTCGTCCTTGCCATGTTCTTCGTCCTTGGTTCATGGCGGCTGCAAGTGAGACATGGTGCGGGCAGGAAGAGAGGGCGTTGGGGGGGTCAAAAGAGGTCGTGAGGCCGCTGCATTCACTCTGATGGCATCCATGGCTCATTTGCTCTAGGGGTGCGTAAGGCCAGGGGCCAGAATCATAGATCGGATGCTATCGTTGGCCCATTCACACGTCAGGTTGGGAGAGTTGGCAGGGGTGGTAGGGGGTTAAAAAAATGACCAGTAGCAGCAGCACCAGAAGCAGAGTTACCGCTATCAGTCGAGTGGCTGACTCACCCTTGGTGGCGCCATAGAGAGTGCCTGACCGAATAGCAACGACCCCGGCTACAGACGAGTTGAACACAATGCTCGCATTGCCCCTTGCGGTACTGCTAACATCAGAACTATCAGCAGCAGCAGCAACACCAGCACTATAACTAGAAAGGCCGACTCACCCTTAGTGGCGCCGTAGAGAGTGCCTGAGCGGATGGCCACGAGCCCTGCTACAGACGAGTTGAACCCTTGGGGTACTGTCAGAACCACTGCCAGCACTAGCTGCACCGCAGCAGCAGCACCACCACTATTACTAGAACAAGTGACTGACCATTGGTGGCGCCGTAGAGAGTGCCTGAGCGGATTGCCACGAGCCCTGCTACAGAGGAGTTGAACACAATGCTCGCACTGGCCCTTGCTGCACTGCCACTTGCTGCACTGCCAGGACTATCAGCAGCAGCAGCAGCAACACCAGCACTATAACTAGAAAGGGCAACTCACCTTTGGTGGCGCCGTAGAGAGTGCCTGACCGAATAGCAACGACCCCCGCTACAGATGAGTTGAACACAATGCTCGCATTGCCCTTTCCTCCACCAGCAGCAGCACCAGCAGCACCAGCGCTTGCAGCAGCTTTAAGCAGAGGGTGTGCGAGTTGGCAGAGGTGGTAGGCGGATTCAAAGTTGGTGCCCCACACGTGGTGGAAGTCGGCTAGAGAATAATCGACTGTTGGCTTGCGGATGTTTGTGCCCACGTTGTTGATCTGTGGGAAAGAGGGAAACATGGAGGGATGCAGTAGGGAACATGAGTGGGAATAGGGCGAGTTGGCAGAGGTGGTAGGCGGATTTAAAGTTGGTGCCCCACACATGGTGGAAGTGAGAGCAGGAGTAGTCAACTGTTGGCTTGCGGATGTTGGTGTTTTGAGACGTCTCAAAACTCGGATGTTGGGGTTACGGAAGTCGGTGCGGAGGGATGAAAGCATGGCAGTGGGAATCGAAATGAGAACGAAAATAGGGACTTGGAACGACATCCCATCACCAACTGATCCGGTGCACAGTCGGTTAGCGAGAATTCTAAAAAACCGCCTGGAAACAACCCAACCACCGCCTACATACGAGGTGGTCCAGCCTCCTGCCAAAAGCCTCTGACACCTTCGTTATAAGCACCTCACGCTACTCCGACTCCTTGACGTCACACGCCCACCCAGTTGCCACCCACCCCTGCAACTATAGCTGCCATCACAACGATGTCTTGCAGGCCATAGAAGATCTCAGGGGTGCGATGAGTTTCGGAAGAAAGGGATGAAAGCAAGGAACGGGGCAGGAGAGGAGCGCGGCGAGGGAACGCCCCCACGGCTGCCTGTTGGAGCGGCACCCTCTCCAACAGGCAGCTCTGAGGGGTTGGACCAACAGGCAGCCCTGGAGGCATCCCCCCGCCACGCTCCTCTCCTACCTCATTCCTTGCTCCACTCGTCATAGCGCCCTGAGTTCTTGTATGGTCTGCAAGACATCATAACGGTTGCTCCGCTACTGTAGCTGGCATTACACCCTCCCCGTCCCACCTGCTTGGGGGCGTCTCCTCGACGCGCTCCTCTCTTGCCCCATTCCTTGCTTCACTCGTCATAGCGCCCTGAGTTCTTGTATGGTCTGCATGTCATCATAACGGTTGCTCCGCTACTGTAGCTGGCATCACACCCACCCCGTCCCACCTGCTTGGGGGCGTCTTCTCGACGCGCTCCTCTCTTGCCCCATTCCTTGCTTCACTCGTCATAGCGCCCTGAGTTCTTGTATGGGCTGCAAGACATCATAACTGCAGCTCCGCTACTGTAGCTGCCATCACACGCCCACCCCGTCCCACCTTCCTCCTAATGGAGGGGTTTGGGAAAATATCCCACCACCAACTAATCAGGTGCACTGACTAATAAAAAACCGCCCGCAAACAACCGCCGGCCTACATACCAGGTGGTTCAGTTTCCCGCCAAAGGTCTCTGACACCTTCGATATAAGCACCTCCCGCTGCTCCGGCTCCTTTACGTCACACGCCCATCCCGTCGCCGCCCACCCCTGCGACTGTAGCTCCGCCACTGTAGCTGCCACGTCAGCCTCGCCACGTGAGCACACAAACACGTGTGCTCCTAGTGATGCTAGCTCGTTGGCAATGGCACGACTGATTGGGGGGGATGGGGAGGAGGAGAATGGGAACAAACACGTGAGCACACAAACACGTGTGCGCCCAAAGACGCGAGCTCGCTGGCAATTGCACGACTGATGGGGGGGAAGAGGAGGGGGGAAAAGGGGAGGGAGAGAGGGAGGGGGACGGGAAGGGGAAGAGGGGAAGCGAGAAGAGGGGGATGAATGGGAAGAACGTGCGCGTCAGAGATGCAAGCGCCTGTGTGATGGCGCAATTGGGGTAGGCGTGCGGAAGGGAAGGGGGCAAAAGGGAGGGGAGAAGGAGGGGAAGGGGGAAACAGGCGGATGGGCAAAACGAGAGCGCCCAGAGAAGCAAGCTCCTGCGCGATGGCGCGAATGATGGGGGGAAGGGAGGCGGAATGTGAGGGGGGGTCGAGTCTTGGGAGTGTGAGGAGGGAGGAAAGGGAGGAAGAGGGGGAAAAGGGGGAACGGGATAACGGGAAGACTGCGAAGTGGTCGGCGGCATGATTCAGAATCAGAGTACGCGTTTGGTTCAGAATCAGACTCGGAGGTTTCAGTGACGGGGATGGATTCCGTCACGAGGGTGTGACGGGGATGGATTCCGTCACGAGAGTGTGACGGAAACGGATTCCGTCCCGAGGATGTGAAGGACAGGGACGGATCACGTAGAAGGGACGGATTTCACGAGGGTGTCTAGGAAATGGAAAGAACGGAAAGAGTATAACGGAATAATTGCGTCTGGTTACCCGATGCCTTTGGTCGCGCCTGTTACAAGAGCCGTCTGGCCGTCAAGTCTCCATCGAGCTGCCGCCATGACGGAATCTGGCGAGAATTGACGATTTGAAAACGGACGTGACGCTTAGGGCTCGTTTCCAACGGCTAGCGAACTGTGGAACAGTTTTGACCTCGTTACCTGAATGAAGTGGAAGCAACGGTCGATTTATTCAAGATTCAAACGACCTAGATTCCCTACCCAACGCCGACCCACTCCAAGCAAGCCACTCTGCTCTCAATTAGCGGTATTCTTCCTGTCAGTGCCTCGGGAATACACTTGCCCCGAGCAAGCGTTCATGATCACATCCAAGGAATTTCACATGGACACTTGAATTGAATGCGGTTGCGAGAGATTATGCGGATGGCCGAACGTTCGGGTAAGGCTGAGAACTAAAACAAAAAAAACGTACCTAACCTTTCACACATGTATTCAGAAATTTCCCACCATGCGAAACAACACCCGGTAGGCGAACGGAACACGCCCTGGCAATCATGACTTCAAAGGCTTCTAATTTCCTGGTTTCTGTCTTCCCTACCATTTTATAGCTCGTTCCCTAGTGTTATGGCGGTGTGGTGCGGCTAGAGGCTACATAAGCCAGGGACCGGTTCTCAGAAATGCTTCAAGAAATCTTTAGCAGCGCTCGCCTCGCTACCACACAACGCCTGAACGTCAGTTTGTGGTTGCTCATTCTCCAGAACTAGCTATCAATTGAATAGGTATACGAATTAGCGGCGGCGCTCCCCAATCTTGGTAAGTTCTCTCGGCGTTAGCACGTCCCGGCTTACTCCACCATTATTAGTTAGCACTAGGTGACATCTGAGTCGACTTATCATAGAAATCTCATGCAAGTGTAACAGATTCCCTGTCGTCCCCGTTAAGCAGTCATTCTGAGACCCCTCTAAGCTCGCCGTTGGTAGGTCCCCCGCGCATTATACCATAGGTGATTAGTATCAACCAATTGCTCGTCTTCACCGCCAAGCAGTCCGCACCGACCTAACAACCATGGCGTCGGACGGACACCCTCCAGAGAACCTAACAGACCTCCTACGCTCTCTGGAGAACTACGACCCACTGGTAAGTGGTTAGTAATAACCGATCGCTTGTCTTCACCGTTAAGCTGTCCGTGCCGAGCCGACCTTCAGGTGAGCTCACTCAGGAGAGCCGAACAAACGTCCCATTCCCTGCTCTTTCTTCCCTTTTCCCCGTTCCCACTCCTTTCAGATTCCTGACGACCTGACTGCATACTATCTGCAAAGATCAGGCGTCAGAAACCCAAACGTCCACGTGTAAGTGAATCAACTCACACAAACAACACAAACTCCCCTTGTATAAAAGTCCGTCAAGGGAGGTCAGCACATTTTTTGTTTGTACATAATTTTATGCCTCTTCTATCTTTTCTCTCCCACCTCCTCTTACCCTCTCTCTCAATCTCATCCCTCTCTTTCTCCGACCCTCCTCTCTCTCCCACCCGCGTCCCACCCATCCTCTCGCTGTGCCTGTGTGTCTATCCGCACTTGCCTTGTATCAGCAGCGGCTCACAAGTTCATAGAGAGGTGGCTAACAGCACTCTCCTGTCCTCCTTTATTCCCTTCTCACCAACCTGTCTCCACCATGTCCCCTCTTCCCCACTGCGCTCTGTGCGTGTATACCAGCACTCGCCTTGTATCAGCAGCGGCTCACAAGTTCATAGGAGAGGTGGCCAGTGACGCTCTACAGTAAGTTCATAATGTGCTACAGTAAGTTTATGATGCGCTACAAATATCGTGGTCGCACGTGCCACTCCCTTTCTCGAGCAAGCTAAATGGGGGAGATTCAGATTTTGTGAAATTCAGCAGGCCAGCACTGCGGGGGTTAGGTTGTGAGAGGAATTATTTTCTGAAAACTCTTACTTACAGTGCTGTCAATTTCTTGCTCTACTCTACCCCCCACAAAAGTTGACCCAGTACTCACTTACAAACCCCCCCGCCTCCCTCCTTCCCCTTTTCCTTTCTCCTTTCCCTGCTCTTCTGCTATTAAGGTACTGTAAGATCAGGCAGGAGGGCAGCAGTAAGGAGATGAGGGTGAGAGTTGGGCAACTGCATCAATGTCATCACACTCCTCCTCAAATTCCTGGTCCCCCTTTCCCACCCCCCTCTCTCCCCCCCCCCCCCTCCCCCTCTCTCCCTTTCGCTCTCCTCTTCCCTTCCTTTCTCAGGTTTTGTAAGATTCGGCAAGCAGGAAGTGGCAAAGAAATGAAGGCAAGAGGGCCCAAGGAGAAGAAGCTTGTACTCACTACAGAGGACCTCGCCGCTGCATTGAAAGAGGTGATTGTTGTTCATTTTGACATTATGCAGCTTCATCCCAAAGTTTGAGCACAGACTTGTGTGCATTCTGTCCTCAATGTTTTCTCCTCCCACTGAAACGTGTGTTTGCTGTCTCGTTTTGCGTTTTCTTCCCGTTCACCGTCCGCTGCTGTGATATCTATTGTCGTTTTCGCAGTATGGTGTGAACGTGCGCAAACAAGACTATTTTGTGGATGGACCAACTCCGGTTGTAGGGAGAACAGGCAAGCACTGATGGTGTCTACACCAGGTTACTGGTATATAAACATCATAATACTAAACTGGGTCTGGAGTTCTATAATGCGGATACTGCCATTTGAAATAAGAGGAGGTTCTACCACGATAAATAGCCTCCCTGTTGAGTTCCAGTTTGAAACACTTCACAGTAAGCTATTGATTACAAGCCATTTGTAAAAGGCATTCTTTAAATGGTAACGATTAACCGCACTTACCATGTTGCGAGTCATCCTGTACTGAAATGGCATTCCCCAGCCGACAGGAGACAAGAATTCGTGAACACGGGTTGCCTGTGTGAGAGTAGTTGAAAGGCGGCAGAACCTAGGTAGGTAGCGGAGCCGCGTGATAGCTGCGTTTTCCCCAGACACGCATGCCGAGTAGGCATATGAGCATGTCAGTAGCATCTCATGTCGAGCTGTTTCGCTCTCGAGTATCTCGAGCCACGCTTTTCCATTCATGGGCATGACATGTCGCTTCGACTCGATGTCGTCACTCGTGATTCGTCGCGTGGCTGACCCGAGGTCATAGCAAACGTCCAATCAGGTTCTTGCGACGCGATCAGTTCTGCAGCTTAGTGCCCGAATTCCGCGAACGACGTGTCAGACCCAAGCAGGAACCCAGGCGACCTTTGACACTGCACACGCGCATTTCTGCGAAATTTGGGGCGCACGCGCACGCGCACGCCACCCCTTGGCGCTTTCCCAACCCCTCTGCTAGGTAGTTCTGTCCCATTTCCCCCCACTTACCCTCCTCCGCTCTCCGCCCGTACCCCCACGCACTCCCCACACCCGCTTTCAGCTGCTGCTTACCGACTGTTAAGCGATTATCCCAAGGCTGAGCAAAGGTACAGCTTGTATACAGACGATCATCCAAACGGCAGGGAATAGCATAGTGTTGTGTATAGATTCAATCCCAGCGTGGCTCAAGGATGATGAACGGTTGCGATGCGAGTTTGGTTTCGTAGAAGAGAAGGATCCAGTATTGGAAGAATCGCCCTAATTCACGTGGCTGACTGACTCTCTGCTGCAGTTGTCCGCGTCTCCGCGTCACGGCAAGATCCGCTATAGAGAGCATCGCGTCTTCGGCATAAGCCAGGGGAATGCCTCCGCCTGTTGATTGCTCGACTGGTCCCTGGGTACGCTGAATTCGCGTTGCCATTTTGCCTCACCATTCTTAGTAGTTCCGCCATTCTTAACAGCTCCGCATTCGTAGCTCAAGATCTGTTTCTGCTCAAATGCTTAGCTTCAGAATCCGTTGCTTCTCAGTTAGCTGTGGACTGCAACCCATGGTTCATCCATTGTAAGCCCTGGATCCCATGGTTCATCAATTTTAAGCCTTGGAACCTTGTAAGGGATGCATTTTGAACTTCGAATCTCAATAAGCCTCTGTGGCTGATTCGTCGTCATATTGTAGCGTTTGAGCCGTCATTTATCCCTCGGTAGCTGTTGGTAGCTGTTCTAAAGCCGAAGCGCCTAGAGCTCGCCATTTCATGGGCTTTCTGGAGCATCACACTACAACATCCGTTAACCTTCTGGTCCGCCTCAGAGCGTATAAGTAGGCACATATTGCGACAGGCGTTCTTAAGAGAAGCCATCTCCCTTCTTTCGGAATAAATTCCCCACCCCCCCCCCCCTGTCTCACTTATTTCTGCTCTCGGTGTGAATGACACTCGAATGACTCTCACAATCGGAGCTTCTTTGATTCCATTCACGTTGGTCAGAGTCTCTCTATATAATCCCCAGAGTATAGCCAATCATTTGATCCCAGCCAATCCCTAGATTCTCAACCGAGCTGAACCCCGTCCATGGGGCCATGCCCTGTTCTTGTAGCTGTCATTGGATGACCATTTGGTCCCATAATCTCTTAAACCTGTTCATGTTATTTGTTACGAGTCAATTTACAACATGTGTGTTATGAATCAACTCAGAAGGCGTATGTTCCTGTTGTTAATTGCCAGGTGGAGATGTGCGAGAGAGGAGCAGCACAGGAGGGTGGTGTGACAGAGGAGAGAAGAGAAGGAGGAGAGGGAGCAGATGCTGAGAAAGTGGGGGAGACAGAGGAGAAGCAACAGCAGGAGGAGAGGGAGAAGGGTGTTGAAAATGAGGCTGATATCGATGAAAATAATGGCAGTAGGGAGGAGTATTACCGTTACAATGATGGTGCTGCTGACGAGGCTGACGTGGATGATGAGGATGATGACGAGGATGAGGATGCAGATGCGGACGAGGTGTTGACAGTTGACGATGCCATTGATTCCATTGGTGAGCTTCTTCTCAGTGTCATAACTGGATCAAATCCGTGCTAGCTGTTGCGTTAGGGTTTGGAAATCTCGCCCCAGGTGATGGGGATGGAGATGCAGACGAGGTGCTGACGGTTGACGATGCCATTGATTCCATAGGTGAGCGTTTGCTCAGTGCCAGAGCTAGTGTCGTAGTAACGCTAGCTGTTGCTTTAGAGTTTGCAATCTCGCCCCAGGTGATGGGGATGGAGATGCGGACAAGGTGTTGACGGTTGACGATGCCATTGATTCCATAGGTGAGCGTTTGCTCAGTGTCAGGTAGTGAATGGCGCTTGATACAATGAAACAGTGCCGCTCTTCTCCCTGTCGGCCCCTACCAGCTCTTCCTCATGTGCTACACTGGCCTCGCATGGCTGGCTGATGCCATGCAGATACTCTCTCCTTCATTTCACTCTCTCCCCTCCCTCCCCCCGCCAGGCTTCGGCCCCTACCAGCTCTTCCTCGTGTGCTACACTGGCCTCGCTGATGCCATGGAATTGCGTATCCCTTCCCATCTCACCCTTTTCGTACTGTCTCCCCTGTCACCCTCTATACTCTCTCTGTCTCCCTACCAGCTTTTCCTCATGTGCTACGTCGCCTCGCATGGCTGGCTGATGCCATGGAGATGATTCTGCTCTCCCTCTCCCCTTTCGCTTTCTTTCTTCCTACCCCCCCCAACAGGCTTCGGCCCCTACCAGCTCTTCCTCGTGTGCTGCACTGGCCTCGCCTGGCTCGGAAAGAGTCTATAAGTCACCCCTTCTTCTTCCCCTGTTCCCTCCCCCTCAACAGGCTTCGGCCCCTACCAGCTCTTCCTCGTGTGCTACACTGGCCTGGCATGGCTTGTGAAGAGGCTATAAGTTCCCCATTCCTCTTCCCATCCTCTCCCCCCCCACCAGGCTTCGGCCCCTACCAGCTCTTCCTCGTGTGCTACACTGGCCTGGCATGGCTTGTGAAGAGGCTATAAGTTCCCCATTCCTCTTCCCATCCTCTCCCCCCCCACCAGGCTTCGGCCCCTACCAGCTCTTCCTCGTGTGCTACACTGGCCTGGCATGGCTTGTGAAGAGTCTATAAGTTCCCCATTCCTCTTCCCATCCTCTCCCTCCCCACCAGGCTTCGGCCCCTACCAGCTCTTCCTCGTGTGCTACACTGGCCTCGCATGGCTCGCTGATGCCATGGAGATGATCCTGCTCTCATTCGTGGGACCAGCAGTGAGTGCAGGTCTTGATCATACATACATACTAGCTGTATATATATCAATTCGCCTGGCCTCGCATGGCTCGCTGATGCCATGGAGATGATTCTGCTCTCCTTTGTGGGACCAGCGGTGAGGTGCTGGTGTATTGCCATGCTGATTGATCATGGTGTGTGTATCACGGAAGTTGGTGAGGAACTTGGTGCTGTTGAGTGTTAAGATGCCTCAGAAGTGATTCTGGTGCACTGTAGTCTAGCCTAATCTGCCACGTGTTATGTCTTGCCTGGCTTGCCGACGTCATGGAAGTAATTCTCCTCGCCTTTCTTGTGCAAACAGCGGTGAGTACAAGCCTCAGTGGTTTAATTTACCCTGCTATACTTTGGTTAAGCATCGCTTGCTGCGGCATACCCTAGATCTCTCAGCAGCTTTGAGAGACCACGCCACCACCACCACCACCATTGGCCTCTAAACTACCCTTTGACCACACCACCATTACCAATGCAGTGGATCGTTTTCCCTCTCTGCCTGGTTTCTTCTTCCCCTCCCTTGCGTCATCCCATGCTATGCTATCCCTCATCCTTTCTTCCCGCCAGGCACGGTGTGAGTTTGGTCTGTCAGCAGCAGAGGAGAGCCTTATTGCGAGTGTGGTGTTTCTGGGTGTATTTCTGTAAGTGCCCTTTCAGTCGACTCAATATAGTCTCACTCGTTACTGCAATGGTCTCAGCAGGGGAGGAGTGCCCTGTAGCCAGTCCAGTACGATGGTGTGTCGTGTCTTGCTAAATTTCTCTAAGCTATCAAGGTAGGGAACACAGCCTGTGCTCATTTTGGTTCAACCCCATATCCCTTCTATCCGTCTTGCATCTGCTCTCTTCACAATCAGCCACCTCGTGTTTCTCTTCCCCCCTTCCCATCCATCTCATTACACCCACCTTCCATCTGTCTGTCCATGGCATGGGCTCCTACGTGTGGGGGCTCGTGGCAGGCTGTTGCCTACAGCAGAAAAAAGAGTCCTCCCGGCTCTGCCTCCCAGTGGCTCTGCGTCTCGTCTCTCTTATCCCTTCCATGCGTCTCCTTTCACCCTCCTGCTGTGTATCCGCCATGGCAGGGGCTCGTACGTGTGGGGGCTTGTGGCAGATGCCTACGGTACAAGGAGAGGTTCTTTCTAGGGTTCATGACCACAGCACTGCTCTCTTCACAGTCAACCACCTCTCGCCTCTCTTCCTCCCATGCACTCGTCTTCTGTCTGTCCATGGCAGGGGCTCGTACGTGTGGGGCCTCGTGGCAGATGCCTACGGAAGGAGGAGGGGGTTCATGGCCACTGCTCTCTTCACTCTCTTCGCTGGCCTGCTCAGGTGATTTTTCAGGTGTTTTTCCAGGTGATTCTTCAGGTGTTTTTTTGGGTAACTATTCAGGTGTTTCTTCAGGTAGTCTTCAGGTTGTCCTTCAGGTGGTTTTCCAGGTGATTCTTCAGCTTGATCATAGCAAAACAGTTCGATTTGCCATCAGGAGCGTATCGCTTGAATACCACCACCAGCCACCACCCCCCTTTTCTTTCTTGCCTCCTATCCTTCTCTCTTACCATTCTCTTCTCCTCTTCCCACACACCCCACACACACAGTGCGTGGTCGCCCACCTTCCTCGCTCTCCTCATCTCGCGCTGCCTCGTGGGGTTCGGCATCGGAGGGGCCTCAGTGCTCTTCTCCCCCCCATCTTGCCATTCCCTTTCCTCATCCCCTCTTCCCTCTTCCCCACACCACTCAGTGCGTGGTCGCCCACCTTCCTCGCTCTCCTTGTCTCTCGCTGCCTCGTTGGTTTCTTGTATCCCTCCCGCCCTTCATACCATTCTCCACCCCTCTTCCTCAACCTCACACTCACAGTGCGTGGTCGCCCACCTTCCTCACTCTCCTCGTTTCTCGCTGCCTCGTGGGATTCAGCATTGGAGGGGCCTCGGTGGTCTTTTCTCTCTGCTCCGAATTCCTCCCCTCACAGTCTCGGGGATTCTGGCTCGTGTTCATTGAGTTCTTCTGGACTGTAAGTGGCACGCTTAGTGCTGATCTCATGGTAAGTGGCATTGGAGGGGCCTCGGTGGTCTTTTCCCTCTGCTCCGAATTCCTTCCCTCCCACTGTCGGGGATTCTGGCTCGTGTTTATTGAGTTCTTCTGGACGGTAAGTGACATGCTTAGTGCTGATTCCATGGTAAGTGACATGCTCAAAGGTTACCTATTAACAGCAGGCGTTCAGACGAATTCACTTTAGAGAATTCTCAAAGGTAACCCTTTACCAGCAGGCGTTCAGTTCAGTATTCTTGTCGCCATGCCTCTCACGCCAAACACCGAGCCACTCCCATGCCCACTCCCATGCCCACTCCCGTGCCCACTCCCGTGCCCTCTCCGGTCCCCTCTCCCGTGCCCTCTCCCGTGCATCTCCCGTGCCTCTCCCGTGCCTCTCCCATGCCTCTCCCATGCCTCTTCCATGCCTCTCACCGTACCTCCCCTCTCCCGTGCCTCACTCCATGCCTCTTGCCTTTCCCGTGCCTCTCGCCTGTCCTGCCAGATTGGGTCTCTTCTAGAGGCAGCGCTTGCTTGGGCGGTCATGCCGAGCCTACACTGGAGGTATGGAGATTTACCAATCCTGCTTCATATCTCTGGATGGAAAGTACTTTTTCCCTGTTTTCAAAGTTTTTAGAACGTTTCTGTCCTACTCCTCCCGGCCCCTCTCTACCCCACTCTGCCTCTTCTGCCATTGCTTGTCCCTCCCTGCCCCTCCCTGCCCCTCCCTGCCCCTCTCTCTCCCTCCCTTACACTCCCTGCCCCTCCCACCTCTTGCCTCCACCCCAAGGCTTTAGTGCTCCTCTCTTGCCTCGTTCTTTAGTACTCCTGTTGCCGCTCTTTTGAGGCGACTCAAATGCCGCTCTACCCACTCATTTCCTCACGATATACCTTTCTCCTCTTGCTCCGTTCCCTCCCTTCCTCTCCTCTTTCTGCACCGTCCCTCCGCTTCGCCTTGTCTCCCTCCCTCCCTCTCCTCTTGCCTCCCTCCCTCCCTCCCTCGCCTCTTGCCTCCCTCCCAGGGCGCTAGTGCTCCTCTCTGCTACGCCCTTTGCTCCCCTGCTGCTGCTCTTCCCATTCCTTCCTGAGTTGCCAAATTGTCTCCCTCCCTCCCTCCCTCCCTCGCCTCTTGCCTCCCAGGGCGCTAGTTCTCCTATCTGCTGCGCCCTCTGCTCTTCTGCTGCTGCCCTACCCCTTCCTTCTTGAGTCACAGTTCTCCGTTCTCCTCTTGTTCCCTTGCCTCCCTCCCTCTTTCTTCCTTCTCCTCCTGCCTCCACGCCAGGGTGCTAGTGCTTCTCTCTGCCACGCCCTTTGCTCTCCTGCTGCTGCTCTACCCCTTCCTGCCTGAGTCACCACGGTTTCTCCTGGTCAGTAGAAAGCTATGGGTGGGTGGGTGGGTGGGTGGTTGGGTGGGTGGGTGTGGCTGTGTGTGGTTGTTGAGGTGAGTGCGGGTGAGTGGGTGTGTAAGTGTGTGTGGCTGCTGCTGTTGAAACCCAACCCAACACCGTTTGCAATGCTTGAGTCACTTCAAAAAAAGAAACTCAGAAGGTACACAAGCAAAGCCAACTACAAACTCCCTCTGTGTGTGCTAGCTACACCATGTGTCCACTACACCTGCTGCTCTCCTGCTGCTGTTCTACCCCAACCCATCCCATCCCAACCCAACCCAACCCAACCCATCCCAACCCAACCCAACCCAACCCAACACCATTTGTCATACCTTCCCTTTCTCCTCTCCCCTTCTCTCCTCTTCGCTTTTCGTCTTTCCCATGTAAGCTCCTCTTCTCTCCTCCTCCTCGTTCTCTTGTCAGAGTAGTTGAGATTTTTTTGAATACACGTGTTTTTTCATGCTCTTTATTATTTTCTCACTCAATAAGAATATGTCAGCAGCGCGCCACAGGTCATAATTCTCTCTCTCCTCCCTCTTACCCCTTTTATTTCCCTCCCTCTCCTCCCTTCCGCTTGTCCTTGTTCTCTTCTCGTTCTTCCCCTTTTCTTGCCCAGTTCGGCAAAAGGGGCTTCCCTTTTGCCCTCCGTCTCCTCCCAGTTCTCCTGTTTCCTCGCCTTCTCTACTCCCCCTGTCCTCCAGTTTCTCTCCTCCCTTTTCTCCCTTTCTCTTGCCTTCGTAATCCTGCCCCTTTCCCCCCCTCTCCTTCCTCCCTTCCCTCCCTTTCATTCACCCTCTTTCTTCTCCCCTTCCTTCGATTATGTAACCCTAATCATCTTGTCCTTCTTCCTTTTCCCTGGCCCTCTCACTCCTCCCCTTCCTCTCTTTCTCTCCCGGCCTCTCTCTTCTCCTCTTCCTTCCCTGTCCAATCAGCTCAAAGGCAACACGTCAGCAGCACACACAGTTCTGGAAAAAGCCGCCCGAACCAACGGCAAGCGCCTGCCGCCCGGGCGTCTAGTTTCGGCCTCATCTGGTCCAAGACTACTGGCATCACCACACCCCGCCTCTCCTTCTCCCACCCAAGCCACCTCCTCCTCTCCTCCACCCTCCACTACTAAACATCATTCCTCCCCCTCCTCCTCTTACTACCCTGTCTACTCCTCCTCCTCATCCGTATCTCACCCCTCCTCTCATCCCCGCTGTTCCTCCACGCCTCTCTCTCCGAACGATACCTCCTTTGACTCGACTTTCGATGCCGGCCCTTCTATGCCCTCTCAGCCCTCTTGCTCCCGAACATCTGGAAGGGCAACACTCCAACACACATTTGAGGCGCCTCAAAAGACAACCCAAACGGCAACACTCCAACACACAGCACTTGAAAGCACAGTGCTCCAGAGAAAATCTCCCCAACGCACAAGCACGTCTAGCCCGCCTTGTTCTTTGTCTTTCTCTTCCTCTTCCTCCTCCTCTTTCTCGCCTCTCCCATCACAGACAGTATCAGCTGACTGTACTGACAGAGAGCAAAATAGTCGACACGATTCGCATTCCAAAAAGCAGCTGCCAAACCAGCAGCATCCCCATCCCCATCCCCATCCCCATCCCCATCCTCATCCCCATCCCCACCCACACCCCCATCACCACCACCAACATTCCCACCCGCATCCCCACTTACCTCCTCCTCCCCACCACCCCTCTTCCTCCTCTCTGCACAAACTCGCTAGCCTCCTTTCCCCCTCCCTCCTCCGCTCCACGCTCGTCGTCTGGCTGCTCTTTTTTGCCTCTGCCTTTTCGTACTATGGACTTGTGTTGCTCACCACTCAGCTCTCTTCTCAACCCACCATTCAACAGACTAATCAGCTGTCCACTCAACCCACCACAGTTGAAGGAGCAGCAGTAGCAGCAGAAGCATCACCAACAGCAGCAGCAGCTGTAGCAGCAGCAGCAGCAGCAACAACATCAGCCGGAGAAAATGCATCGTCTTTTCATGGCTCTTCCCCTGTTCGGCCTAGAGGCCTGCTTGACAAACAGAACTATCTCATTCGTACAATCCCAATTGCACTTCCTCCTCCTCCTCCTCTTCTCGTCGCTACCTCACCTAACCACCGACAATCTCCTCCCTCTCTCCGCCGCTCATTGGCACTTACTCACTCAAATAATAACTCAACCGTGGATACTTTATCATCCTCTCCCCCCACTAACTCCTCCTTTTCCACCTCTTCCTCCACCTCCATGTATCACCCTCCCCACTCGTCCTCCTCTCTGTCCCTCTCTCCCATACCTGGGTGCACACCTGAAAATCAACCTGAGATTTCCTCCCAGACATATTCAGATGTTTTTATCACTTCAGCAGCAGAGCTGCCCGGTCTTCTCATCGCTCTGACCAGTGTCGAAATTTTCGGCCGAAAGACCGTCCTCTGGGTTCTCCTCTGCTTAGCAGGGTTTTTTTTGCTGCCCCTGATTCAGCCCTTGCCACCCACTGCCACCACAATTTTTCTTTTTGCTGCCCGGGCAGCAATTATGGGTTCATTTGCGGTGCTCTGGGCATACACACCAGAAATTTATCCGACCGAGATCCGATCTACTGGGCTCGGAGTGGCAAACTCTTGGGCAAGGCTGGGCGGCTTCATTTGTCCCTTTGTGGCGATCGGGCTGATCGAAGGAAGTCACAGGGTAGGTCTGTTGGATTTCTTGTTCTTGTTTTCCTTTCTTGTTTTTCATCGTGTTATAATTGGCTCTTTGCTTGTTTGCGGTGGTTACCGTTTTGTCCCTTTTCTACCCGTGCGTGCATGCCCTCCCGCACACACACGTGCGCGTGTGATGTTGGCCACATCTCAAATTTTCGAATCCGTTGCGTATGTTTTGCGTGTGTGTTGTTGAGTAACTGTCTGTTTCTGTGGATGCTTCTTGTGTGTGTGTGTGTGTGTGTGTGTGTGTGTGTGTGTGTGTGCGTGCGTGCGTGCGTGCGTGCGTGCGTGCGTGCGTGCGTGCGTGCGTGCGTGCGTGCGTGCGTGCGTGCGTGCGTGCGTGCGTGCGTGCGTGCGTGCGTGCGCGCGCGCGTGCGAGCGTGCGTGCGTGCGTGCGTGCGTGCGTGCGTGCGTGCGTGCGTGTGTGTGTGTGTGTGTGTGTGTGTTTCTTAGTCATCCCAAGGAGCCTCAGTAACTTAACTGTCTTACCTCTGTACTGCTCCCCACTTGTTTCCAGTGTCTCCCTACCATGTTTTCCTCTTGTTCCGCTCATGTTCTATGCACATATCCATTCGTCATCTGTGTGTTTCACTCTATTGTTGGTTGAGGAATCTCAGTTTTCTCTCCAACTCCCGTTTCCTGTTTTGGCCAATGCAGGAGCTGGCAATTCTTCTCTTTGTCTTTATTCCCGTTCTTGCCGCCCTCGTTACTGCGTGCTTCGCGTCAGAGACGAAGGTGTGCGATGCGAACGACCCTGTTCCTTCTGATCCGACTGTCTGTTTGGTATTTTGCGTTAAACCGATTCCTAAAGGTAGCCCAGTTTCCTTACCGGTACTTGTTCTTACGTGTTCTGTCTCATGTTGTCTGTCCCACATGTTATGTAAGCAGGGGACTGCGCTTGGGGAGAAACTACCCAGCTTCCGGCACACCAACCAATCACACAGCAATCTATCGCTCATTAGCCCCAACTTCTGTCAATCTGATGGAGTAGCTGCTGGACATAGTGTAGCTCATAGCTGCTTTCAAGTATTTGGAGACGATAGCTCGTGTAGTGATTCTGATTAAACATTACATAAATCTAGGTTTACTCTTACGAATAGTAATTGACGAAGCATTACTGTGCACTCCTTACCGTAGCAATCGAAGCACGCACTACCGAGTCTGAAGACGAAAAGGCGGAAGTGACGGGAAGGGTCGTACGGTTACGAAAGGATCTGAACCGTCAAGCAGACAGCATCAGGCAGCAGCAGTGGCGAGGATTCTGCCCAGGCAGTTTGTAACCGTCTGGAGTCGCACGGTTGGGTTTCGCCGCAATAAGGGAATGTACCCCTTAGAGTACATGGCTAGACTAGGTCGATTCGAATTCCCTTGTACTCTTATTTATATTCCTGTACTTGCATGTTTTTATCATCTCAAGCATTTTACACCCACTCTGCTATTGAGGTCAAGGGCCCACCACCACTACTCAGACGTGTGCGAACCTTCCTGAGGCGATCCTAGGGTCGATCAACATCTGATCGCAACATGGTATGAGAGCGACTCAGGAATCCTTCGCATTGCCACCTCCGAAATCTTCGGCGAACAGAAAGTGGCGTCCGGCACACGCTCGGGTGTCAGAATGGCCGGACGATCTGGTGGTCAGACGAATCTGACGGATGAAGCGCAGCCCAACCCGGCTGCGACAAGCGAGGAAACGACGACGATTAGAACCGCCGCCCTCGCACAGATGCTTCAGCGACTCACCATCCTGGAGCAACAACTCCAAACATTGCGGAATGGCGACGCATCTTCCCAACCCACTCAACCGGCCTCGACCGGCCACAATACCGCCCCGCACACCTTCTCCCTCGACACAAATGGCTCAACACCCAAGACCCCCCGTCCCAGCGAAGAAGCAATTCTCTCTGCGCAATCAAGGTTTTTGAGCATATAAAAAATAAAGACAAGTGTGTGTTTTGACGGCAGAGACTTCTATACGCGGAGCTTCGAGCTGGAACTACTGCTGCAAAACGCGCAGATATTTCACTACTTCGACGGGAGCTACTCGGGACCCGTTGAGGATACTGCTGACGCCCGGGCGCAGTACTACAACGAGTCGTTGATGGCGTACGGCGTCCTCCTGTGGAATATGTCGCCGGCGGAGCAGTTGAGCATTCGTTCGTACAAGACGACTCTTGCTCCAGCCCTCGATGATTGGCGCCACCTGAACGGCGTGTACCAACCGAAAGACTCGGTTTCATCGAGCCGCCTGCTCCAGCAGCTACTGGAGACTAAAATGGCCCCAGGGGAGAAGGCCAACAGCTACATCAACCGCTGTCGGAGCTTACGCGATCAAATCGCGAAACTGGGAAGCACGATCTCAGAGGATATTTTTCGTGAATATCATGCTTCAAGGGCTTGGCCCAGAGTGGCGGGCCTGCAAGGCGCTTCTCCGACAGCAGGGGGTCATCTCGGAGGCCACCCTATGCGCCGCCCTTCTTGTTGAACAGAGGGATATGGACCAGCAGCGACCAGCGCCGCGACGAGACCGGGAACGCCTCGCTTTCTACGCCGAAAACACAGAGGAGCGACGGCCGCGGCGCCTTTACTGCAAAATTTGCAGAAATTTTGGGCACTTGGCAGATCGATGTAAATTCCTATCTCGCCCTCGCCACACCAATCCGAGCACCTGATCCGGCCGACAAGACGCACGGAACGACACGCGTCAAGCCCAGGGGCATCAACCCCCACCGCGCAATCTGAACCCTGCCTTTCAGCATCAGCAGCAGCAGTCGCCCCAGACTGCCCCCGTCCGCAACGTCATGGGCAACATGACAATGACGAGCGGATCCCGTCGTCCCCGCGCGCGCTCACCGTCACCAGAGCCAACACGCCACCCAATCGGAGCGTTCTCGAACAACAATCCGTTCAGCACGCGCCACGTCTTCACCGACGACGATGAACAGGACTGGAATCTTCCAGTCCCGCTGCTTGAGAGTCCCCCGCATGTACCTGATCAGCGGGTGGCTCCGATCGATTGGATCTCGTGCGAGCAATTCCTCAAATTTGACACACTGCACATCGTTACCCCGCGACTGGCGCTGCTCGCACGTAACGACAACAAGCGCTACAATACGTGGTACCTGGATAGCTGCTGTGGGCAGCATATGGTGGATCCTGAGCGTTACATATCTAACGCCGTCTCCACCCCCGCCGTGACCTATGTCACCGTGGCGAACAACACGCGCCTGCGTGCAAGCGCGCAAGGAATCGTGGTGCTCAAGGCCAGAGGAAGCAGGACGCACATCACACTGAATGACGTGCTGATTATGAAGAAATTTGCGCTTCAATCTTCTCTCCACGGCGCAACTCATGGATTGCGGAGTCGACCTCAGCACCGATCCCGAGACACGCGATATCCTGCTTCACTACACAATGCCGAACAAGACGTGCAAGCAGATCGGGCGATGGAAGAACACCCCCTCCCAGAACCTGCATCACAACATCTTCAAGGCATGCTACGGGGCACTGGCGTCGGCACCTTTGATGCGCAAAACGAGCCGCGCCCCTACACAAAGGAGAAGTTCCTGGAAATCTACTCTCACCAGTGTGACTCTACGAAGAAGCTTACCGTGGCGCAAGAAGAGGAACTGGCGCGCCGCGAAGCGGAAGAGCTTCGTCAGCGGAGCCTTGCGAAGTCACGCGGCACATTTGCTTGGAGCGGATGGGGAGAGGAGGAGAGTGCCTCCAATGAAGGGGGGTGGGGAAGCGCCGGTGGATGGGGCACAAGCAACACTGGCGGATGGGGAGCAACAACTGGCGGCAACACCGGCGGATGGGGCGCCGCATCTGGCGGCGAGACAAGCGGTTGGGGCACTTCCGGTAAAGGCTGGGGAGCTTCCCGCGAGGACCAAAGGGGGGAAGAAGAGGAAATCGAGGCAGAACCTCCAGTTGTTCCTCTTGGTTGCCCTCCGAGCCGCGCTGCACCCGCACTACCCCCACCTGACATCCAGCCGGGAAGTGACCCCTGGGACACCATCGAATGGGGCGATGAGCCCTCTACTCCGCGGCGCACCGTCTACGGGCCTGCCCCGGAGCCGCGCGAACCAACCTTTTTCCCTGGAACTATCCCCGGAACCAATATTCCCCTCTCCACAATTCTCGACAGAAGAAGAAGCAGAAGAGGCAGCGGCGACACCTGCCCAAGCATCTGACGAGGACCCCGCAGAAGCACACGCGCGCTACATGCGCACCTCTGGATTCCGCGCCGACGATGCCCTCTGGCACCAGCGCCTCGGTCACCCGTCACGCGTAACGCTGAAGAACTGCATCGAGGCCGGCGTGTTTGCGACCGGCGCACTCCTGCGCCCTGATGGCACCGAAGTGAGAGGTGCGACACATCTGCGCAAAAGCACCGTCTACCCCGAAGCTGCGCTGAGTCACCAGCCGTTCCCGCTGCTCGAGCCTGGAACCAATCGCTACCCCAAGCTGTACATGGTGTACAGCGATGTCCTCAACGTGGGGCACTGCGGAATCAACGACGAGCTGTATACGCTCACCTTCGTCGACGTAGGAACGCGCTACGTCTGGATCGTGAACGTAGCAGCGCGCAGCAGAGCGTACGAAGTGTTCCGCCTCTGGCTGGCAGATGCGCAGCGGCAATCTGGGGAGAAGCTGAAAATCTGGCAATCTGACGGCGCAGCGGAGTTCAGGAGCAAGGAGATGCAGGATTACCTGGCGCAGAAGGAAGTCGAGCATCACATTTCCCTCCCCTACTCGCACCAGCAGCGAGGGGTAGCCGAGCGCACAAACCGTACGCTCATGACGAAAGTGCGGGCGTTGATGAAGCAGTCGAAGCTTCCGCCAACCTACTGGACCTACGCAATGCACCACTCCGTGCGATTGCACAACCTGCTGTCAACCACGGCCATCACCGGCAACTCATCGCCACATGTGAAGTGGACAGAGACCAAGGGCGACACATCGATGCTCCGCGTGTGGTGATGGTGCAGTACCGCCCGCCAACGTCAACTATCGGAAAATTTGCAAGCCGCGCGCGCTGGGAGATTCACCTCGGCATCAGCCACGAACACAAGGCGTGGCTCATCTTGGACCTCATGAGCCAGAAGTTCAAAAATTTGCGTGACGTTATCTTCTACGAGCGGCTCTTCCTTCGTCAATTCCGCGAAGACGAGCAGGCGAACGCGAACCGCGTCTACGCCAACGACGGGCACAGCTACGCCTCACCTGAGGACGAAGATGCAGCAGCCATCCTGGAGCAGGACACCAGAGGCAAGTTCACAGGAGGCGATAGCCGCAGCGACGACGACGACGACGACGACGACGATTCTTCTGGAGGAGGAGCAGGCGCAGCAGGCGGAAGCGGAAGCGGAAGCGGCAAAGGCACAGCACCGCCAGCACCACCTGAACCGGAAAGCGACGATGACGATGTGCAAGAAGTCATCCCGCAGCACCGCCACGACAGCACCGTCTCTGGACTCCAACTTCTCGGGCTCCACACCGCCACCTGAACGGCGCCACGTGTCATCGAGCCGAAGAATCCGCGCCAAGCACTCACGGAACCACACAGCAAAGAATGGCGCGAGGCAATGGATGCGGAAATTAAGGCACTCGAATCCCGCAATACCTGGGTGCTCGTCGATCGAGCAGCAATCAAGGGGAGAAGGATTCTCTCCGGGAAATGGGTCTTCTGCGTGAAAACCGCAGCGGACGGTACGATTGAGCGACTCAAAGCG